TATTGTTTTTCAACGATTCTGAACTCGGCAACGTTAATGAACAGGTTGATAGATCTGACTTACATTCCAATGTATTAAATATTCATTTATTGAGTTAGTGTACACTATAATAAGAACCTTGACTTTCGTTCAGAGCTTGCAGATATTAACACTTATGCTCTGTGGTCTCTTTATTGGAATCCTCATAGCATCCTCATAAGATTATATCTTGGTTCATTTTTTCCTTTTATAAAATAGAATATAAAAGAATAAAATTCTTTGCTCGTGAAAGAGTCCTATTTTCGTCTCGATTTTTCTGATTAAATTACCGTAATCAATGATATCATAGCGAGACTCTTTGCCAATCTACAGTTGGAACACAAAGACTTCTACAAAAGCGTTATCCTTTCTGAATAGACAAAATGCGGTGTTCTTTTTGAACTTTTAGTTATTCGTTCATTGTTCGCCCGTACGAGCTTCCTTTTGTTTTACTTAACTTACAATGACTAAGAGTTATATGGTAGTATACTAAACCAAGACCAGTATACCGGTTGTGCAAGTATTGTGCAGGCCTCAGCATTTCACTTATTTATTTCGCTGCCTTCTAGCTGCAGTCTATAGAAGTGGTCAGATTCGTTCACGAGTTCGCCTAAATTTGAATGTCCTCGTCTCAATCATGTGATGAATGTTGGTTGAAAATGCTTCTCTCAGGAGCTCTAGGATTGCTGTACTAGCGCGTTCAAGTCTGAGATCTCAGAAGTCATCATAAAGCCAATGTTGTCGGTTGTCGTAGCTTAACGAGGTGTTTCCCGCCACACTACCGTAATTTTTCCCACGCCTAAGAAATTCCTCCCACGACAGAGATTCGTGTGATTCTTGGTTGATCGAGCAGTATAAAAAGGGACATATAGGGGACTTATGCAAATTAAATGGAAAAATTTTGCTTAAACACTTAAATGTGCTTAGTTTTTAGTCTAAAATTCAGTAACATATGGAAGGAAGTGTTACGGACATTCAAATAGTCCGTTTTTCTCCGTTTTTTTGCTTAGACAACAAAAGATTTCACATAATGACTGTGTCTCTCAATTCTTTTGAAATGTTATTAGCCAGCACTGCATTGTTATTTGAATACAGTAGTGAATATTCATGAAAAACCACGATTAATACAATTTGACTAAAACTATACAGTAGTCGCCTACAACCGTAGCGCATGCGATGAATAGAGGATAAATCGGCGAGCGTTATTCCCTAAGGAATCCACCATGCTGCCGAGTCCGTAAGAGTTAGAAGGCTTAGTTAGCTCGAGGCGTGAGATTAAACCAATGACCATGGGGGCAAAAAAGGATAAAGCTCTCGGCGTCGATCAATCTCTGAGGGATGTGCCATGCATTCGATTTCATTAAGCATCGCTTGGACGTGATTGTATGCATATCTGGCTTTTACAGTGACTCGCGGTGGCGTACCGATGTATCGACCCAGTGCTGCTCTCCTCCCAGACAAGTCTGGTACCAATTTGCCAACGCCGTAAGAATGGAAGGTTTGGTGGGCCATGGGCGCGGGGGTCGATTCCCTGTGTGTGTTGCAGGTCTCCTCCGACCTCTGCGCCACACGCGTGTGTTTTGGAGGACAACTCCAACCACTAGATTACACGCACAAGGTTGAATATAATTGAAAAAAATGTCCATCTAATCTTGTATATCTATAGGTAAGTTATCTCAATGCATGGAAGATGTTTTTTCGATCCAGTAAAGTTGGGCCATATTTTTTAGTTCAGTGATCATCGAACGAATCGAACGTTCATTGTTTGAACTGACAAACACCAGCTGCAATCAATTCGTTGTCGTTTCCGACTTCATTCACTCACTCCTCTCTGCTTTTATTCGCAGTTCCGCAGGAATGTGTCGACATGAAGTTGATTAGCTAGGCCCATATGTATATATGCTTCCTGGGAGGTTCTACTTTTTCTGTTTCATTTCATCTCCAGTTCTTTTGTCGTTCGTTTTTTTATGTTTTATCACGCATACATGGTTGTAAATTTTGTGTCCAAGCTACTTATTGTTTAATTCGTTCCTATTAATTTATATAACAGTAAGAAAGAAAGAGGAAAGCAAAGTGGGATAATACTAGGGATATAGCTTAGAGTTGTTAATTCAAAGCTAAATTTTTGGGCTATTCAATGGTTGAAACCTGATAATGTCCAACAGATTACAATCTTTATAGTTTTAAATGAAAATTCTGAAAGAATACAATTTTTGCATATAAATTGTATGGCTTTAGTCTATAATGGCCTTTAAGTAGTTCCTCTTTCCTAATAGGCCAACTAAAGCTCCTTTCTATCGTGGACTTTAATTTATCCCTATTTCAAAGGGTTTCGACCTGTTCTTCGGTCTTCTAAGGAAGGTCTTCCAAGTGCTCTTCATCGTAATCAATTTGAACGTAATGACTTTTTCGATTTTTCTCCTACGCTTCACATTATTCCAATTTAATTTCCGCATCTTTCTTCGTCGCTCTTTTTCTGGAATTCAATAGAAAACTTGGAAATTGGGTCAAATTCAATGATATCACTTTATTATCCAAGCGAGTTCATTGGTCAGAGTTCGAATGGTTCACAGTAGGGGCACAATGTGCTGACGAATCAAGAAATGAAAAGAAAAGAATCCTGTTAAACATTTTCGATGATGACCTTCTTTAATGACCGCATGTATGATCAATGTCCTGGTTTCTTAATAAGCTTACGCGAAGTTGTTACAAATCTTTACTGTGGCTAATGTTTCGGTTCTATTGTCTTCTTCAAAGGCGCAGTAATTCGAGCTGAGCATCTTTGTTTTCAGTTTCCTCCGAAACAATCAATACAAATTTAGTTTTTAGTGCGAAAATAAGAGGATTCTTTGTACCGACTGTTATAAGAGTTCTACAGCTCGCCTTCGATAGACGAGAATCGAGAACTATAATTGCATACACATAAGATGGATATTGATCGCGGTCGTTGTCAATTCAGTATCATAGAATTGCACATTCTCCTCCATATTACACACTCGACAACCTCATCTCAATATTCGTGCATATCATTTCGTCAGCTGTGTATATAACATTGTCAATCGTTCATTAGATTTTGTCACACCTCGCATTCTAGTTCGTAGTTGGCGCATTCATTTCAATTCACTTGCATTTCATTTTGACTTATTGCAATAAAACTCAGACATATTGGCTTCAGTTGTTAGTAAACAGATGAAAAACATGATTTATCGTAAGCCAGCGATCACTCGTAGCGAGCTAGGAGTGCTATCGTGCGACTGAGCGCCGTGCGCACTTCATTCGTTTCTTGGTCAGCAGCTGGTAATAAATGGCATCTTATGACTAGTGGAAGCTCTGAAATCATGCTTTTGTCATCAAATCTACTGCTTTCCAGTGGAACAGTTCTGGTACATGCGTCTCGTTTTCCAGTTTTCCAGGTCCAACTCACTCTTTTCACAAAATATTTCTGAACAGACAAGCAAAGGAGAAACCGGTTTGGTAGCATATGCTAGCACCTTCGATAGTTGGCCAAACATCAAAGACTTCTTTGAAGTTTTGAAAATGTTATAGTTCAGTTGTCGTGAAATCCATCACATGATGGTTATCTTCTGTTCAACAATATGAGTCATGACTTTGCCGCTCTATCTCAACATGACATTGCCGTTCTATCTTCACTCGTTCACCTTTTACAGTAATGGCCTGGTTGGTAGTAAAATTTAAGATTGCGCACAATTCGTAGTGGTTGCCGTTAATGCAGTCCAAGCCGGAATCTAAAGTTCAACACTTCTTGTAAGCGAACATCATAGATAGTAGCAAAACTTTCATCTCGGCATACTTATGGTTGTACTTCACATCGTACCTTTCCATGAAAAAAAGAATAGACAGTGAATGAAAACGTAAAACTCACCTATATCTCACGGTGATGATGCAGCGTTAGCTTGCTATGAGAGTTGCTTACCATGGAGCTTTTAATTATATGCACTTGAGGAGTTGAATGAAGGAATATCGAGACTCTAACGAGTAACAGAATGCTGTGCACTACTGACTAACTGAGGTGGCTGTCGGTGTACACTTCGACTTCTTTACCTAGGTTGCTTCTTCTTATAACAGGATCATTTTTTCTTTTGTTTCAACATTTCCATCAATAACATGTTGATCTCAGGACGTCTGAGTCGCTGAAGTATATCTGTTCTACTTAGCAAACGTCTGTCTTCAAGCATCAGATATCATGTGGATCAACAGCATTCATGCTGTAGCGACGCGAAAGTGTTTTACACTAGATAGGGGCTAATTCTATGAAAGCTTCGATATATGGCAGGGATCGATAGAACTAGATCTGAGAGACAGACGAAGCGAAGGACTCGCATGGTGTGGTGGTGAACGCGTTACTACCCGGAAAGGACAATAGCGTGTTCATTCCCCACCACAGACACCTGCGGTCCGGAGTTTTGCAAAAATCTCATCAATATATAGTAGTTATATTTCGCAATACACCCTACTCTTAAAAAGAGTGGACAGTAAATAAAACGGTTAAGTGTATTAAAGCTGTCCTGAATTCCCTTTAGAATCAGGGTGTATTTGACTGATGTTAATTCTTTCTAGTGACACCTAACTAGTTCTAGATAAGATTAGAGGTTAAGGTTCTAGATAAGATTATTGGCTGGCATGTTGTTCTACATGCTTTCGAGTTTTCTTGCTTCATCAAGTGATGTTTGTTGCAGTTCGTAAGCTCGTACTTCATCCATCCGTCATCCGTCTTCTTTTACTGATTGAAATACTTCATTGCTCACAAACAATCGCCAACAGTTATGTCTTCGGAATTTCTTTCATTAACTTCAAGCTGTTTTTATCCGATTTCCCTTATGACTAAAGTAATTAACTTTATACATGTTTGTTTGTGAATACCCAGGTGTTATTCGTAATGTTTTTCTTCGTTTTTGATGGAACTGCCATTCTTAAAACGGATTTGAGATTGCCGACGTTAAAACCATTCAAACGTGTTCCAGATGTATCTGATTTGCGAAGATCCCACTTTGCGACAAGATATCCTCCAAGTACTCGGCTTTTCCGATGACGAGATGTCTGGCAAGGTGTTCAGCTTGTTCCCTGTGTTACCCACAATTGGCGATCTGGTTGTGGCTGTAGAGGACTTGTCTGACAAGAATTTGCATTCTGCGATTAAGTACTTTCTAGCAAATGTGAGCAATTCTGTTTTTTTTGCAAGTTACGTCTTCAAAACACACCTCATTCGTAGCTTTATATGTCATCGAATCTCAATATACGGTAAATTTCCTTGAACATTTAACATCCTCGCCAACTTTAGCACATAAGGCTCCGGCTGCATTGGTGTCGATGCATGCGGTGCGAAAGTAGTGACCGCTTTCAGATTTAAACCAGGATATCTCAGCTCTCGAGTTCACAAGATGTATTTTTTCGTTGTTTCCTCATCGGTGCCATAGCATTTGAGGCTACTACCCTTGTGTTGGATAGTTTCAAAATTTTAAGTTTCGATTTCAATCCTTTGAAAATTTTGATTCTAAAAAAACTAAAATCTGAGGAATGTTCTATGAACATTATTCCCGACTTAATGGCGAGACAGTAAAGGATGTACGGTAATTTCTGTTCCCCTACTACGTCTGTGATTAACAAACTTATGTCGATTTTCGAAAGGATAGGGGATTAAGGATGTTACTTGCTAAAAAGCATTCATATAATGTGTTACCTCTATGTACTACTAAATGCAAAAAAGTCCTACTACCACAATGTTCTTCCTTCCGAAATCCGACATGCCATTTCGTCGGTGAAAATCCGAACAGCACCATGTCCGGACAGGATAAGACAAGAACACCTGAAGAACCTTCCGCCAGTCCTCGTAAACACACTGGCTCGGCTCTTCACACGTTAGCTGTCTGAATGCAAGGTTAGTGGAAGACCAGCAAGACCGTGTTATTGCTCAAGAAGGGTGACCTGCGCGATATCGGCAGCTATCGCCCAATCTGCTTACTGTCTGTCGTCAACAAACTTTTCACTCGAGTTATCTTAAATAGGATTGACAGAACACTAGACGAAGGGCAGCCATGTGAGCAAGCAGGGTTTCAAAGAGGATTTAGTACGATGGACCAAATCCACACGGTAACACGGCTCATTGAAGTATCCCGAGAGTACAAGAGACCTCTCTGTCTCACCTTCATCGTTTTACAGAAGGCCTTTGATTCAGTTAAGATAGAAGCAGTTTTGGAAGCCCTTGATAGTCAAGGAGTCCCAACTCAGTACATAAAGATTCTTCGTGAGCTGTACAAAAATTTCACAACCAAGATATCACCATTCTACAACGATATTAACATCGACGTCAGAAGAGGGGTTAGACAACGCGATACCATCTCGTCAAAATTATTTACCGCCACCCTCCAGAACATCATGCGAACATTAGAATGGGACAATATGGAAGTGAGAATCGAGGGTCGGCAGTTTCACCATCTTCGCTTTGCTAATGACATCGTCCTTATAACACCAAACATTAGCCAAGCGGAACGTGTGCTTGCCGACTTTGATAAACCCTATGGAAAGATTGGTTTTCGACTAAATCTCACAAAAACGATGTTCATGAAGAACGGATTGGTTTCGCATGCCCCATTCACGCTCAATGGAACGAATATCCCCGAATGCTCCAGTTATATCTATCTAGGTCGGGAAATCAATATGGTGAACGACCTAGCACCAGAGCCTAGCAGAAGGAAATGAGGGGCTGGTGGAGCTTTCAAGAGCATCGGTGATGTAGTGAAGAGAACGGAGAACACTCAACTCCGTGCCCACTATTTCGACTCAACGTCCTGCCCTAACGTATGCGTCAGATACCTGGTCGCTGCGTAAGCAGGATGAAAGGTCACTCAGCGTTATCGAACGCGCAGTTGAAAGGACGATGCTAGGAGTATCCCGTTCCACACAAGTAAGGGATGGAATCCGAAGCTCCGATCTGCGTCAACGATCAAAAATCAAAGATGCCGTTCTGTACGCCAAACAGTCGAAGATAAGGTGGGCCAGACTCGCAATGCGTATGAATGACAACCGATGGACAAGAGTCGTCAGTGACTTGAGTCCTCGGGATGTCAAGTGTACTGCAGGAAGACCACCGACCCAATGGTCGGAGTTTTTGACGAAAAGCCTAGAGGAAAGATATGTTGCTCGACGAGTCCCTAGAGCGTGCAGAACCCATTGGGCTACTCTTGCACGCGACAGGAAAAAATGGAAGATTTACTAGCGCCCGCTCGAGTCACTGGACGATCAACGGGACTACAGGTGATACAGGTGATACCACAATGATGCTGAGATATTTGCAAAACTCCGGACCGCAGGTGTCTGCGGTGGGAATGAACACGTTATTACACTTTCAGGGTCTAACGCGTTCACGACCGCACCATGTGGGTTCTTCACTACCAAACTTGATGTCGTCAGTATTAAGTGAATTACTCCACTGCCCTTCTCCAACATTTGCCGCCTAGTCATGGTTGGGGGGATGTTCGTGGCTGTCGAATTATGAAGTTCGCTGCGGTACTTTACGTTCTGCCAGTTATAGTCACGGAAGCACGAAAAAGAAGATGGACGGTTGCATCCGGTTGCCTAAACCGAAGTAAATCTACGCAATAGCAAATGCAGGTGAGAAACTGTTGGTGAGCTATCTTCAAGACCAGTTAATATGAAGCACCTCATTAAAGTATGTGTGACGGTTTTCATGTTCCGCTAGTCAACTGTGGTCGCTATTACTAATTCACCTACTCTGGCGCGTGACACGAGCGAAAGTAGACTCTACTGTTACCAACTTGACCTCTTCTATGGTTAATAGAATTACTGGTGATGAAGCTGATGTTCCACAGGATATAAAAGCTAAGCTCACCCACGAAGAAACTATATTTATGGACTGAGACGTAAAATATGATTGGCGCGTTGAACGAATGTCTGGAAAGCATGATATTTAATCACAAGTCATATAATGGCTAGTCATGCAGCTCGGCGTAATCACATGCTTCTACGATTTCAATGAAAGTTAGTCGAATAGGCGGTAAATTAGAGGGGAAGCTAAGTTTTGCCACATTGTCTTATTTCTATATAGTCGGATCAGAAACCCCTAATATTTAAAGTATGCGAGAATTTCACCGAAAGTAGTAAATAATAAGAAGCGTGGAAAGTTAAGTAGTTAGAGACGCCGTACATTACAGGAATGGTCGCCACTTCAATCTTATCATAGGTTAAATAAGACCTTTTTCACATGTTCCCTTTCGGTGAGGAGAATTAGTGTCACATTTCTCTCGGAAAAGCTCTCTCCTAAGCACAAAGACTGACATCCTGTGGTGAAGACGTGGCAACTCTCTAGTAGAACTATCCCAGAATTCTTGAGCGAAACAACTTGACCAACATTCAATGAAATTCATAGAGAAGGTAAAATTCTCAAGTGGTAGTCAAAGCAGTGTGACAACACGAAGACATTCGTGGACGGACACGAGACAAAAAATCGAGTGAAAGTGCAGAGATCTGCACGAGATGGGAAGTAGGGCAATATAAATGAATGAATAGTAGGAAATGTGATCACGTATAGTAATTTATGTGCACTTGGTAGCATATCGTACCTCGGTCCTGAAATTTTATCTCTCTCCTCGCTTTTTTTAAAGACGTTTTTCGACAGAAGGTTCATCTGCCCTCTTTTTTCGATGTAAGCAGAAGAGCGAGAACTGAATCTCTGGCTTATGTAAGAACAAACCATTCCAAGGACTTCTATGGTTGTTTTCGCTAACACTCATAAGTTTTTTCTATTTTGTTAACACTACTTCTTTGCTTGAAGAACTGGACTGCTCGTTGCCATGAAAAATCACGTGTGCACAAAGACGATTTCCGCTTGACTGGTAATTGGTCTGTTGGGGAGCATTTATTTTTTCTGGAGTTTCGAAAGCGTCGTGAAAGAGTTCTTTTTGGTAGCTGAGTTTTCGGACATAAATGTTGGACTCCTTGTCAGCTTTAGGAACTCTACTGAAATGATGAATCACCGACTGTACTCAACAAGTGGTGAACCACCGACTATATTTAACAACTCGACGAGCAGGAAAGCGGAATGTCACTCAGGTGTGGTTGACACCGTCGCCACATAGAGTTCTCCTCATGCAAACTGCAACTTATTCTCAATCTATTTAATGAGTACACCAGTCTCTTACATTTCATTCTGAAGCAAAGACAGAATTTTTTCATGGAAATGAAAGGATTTCTTTCATATGAGGAAAAAAACGGGACAAATCGAAACAAAACCCTATCCTATTATTAAAATTGGTCTTTCTTTTTCGTTGCTTTTCCAATTATTTCTCATTATCTGTTTACGACAGCTGTTTATTACTGGTGTTGACGCTCTAAACAGTTTATCCAGTAGTTTTCAAGCAAAAGAGAAAAACGACTTTCTTGGGAATCAGTCGCAGCGTTAGTGCAAGCACATGTGGACTATGTCGTGCTTACTTGTCATCACTTACTAGTTCCGCTGTAGCAATCCAATGTTGGGCCATTCTCGTCATCGATAACAATCGCCATTGCTATCGACTTATTGATTGGCAGCAGATCTGTTTATGAACGATAAATCATCGAACTATCAATAAGTTGCGCTCATAACTCGTTCTAGGGCTTGAGGTGACTGTCGTAAGCGATATCTGAAAGTCCATTGAGTTTAACCGATGTTACTGGCATTATCGCTTTCATCTTCGTATGCTTTATAATATTGCAACAGTTTTACTGCTTATCGTACTACCTATAAAAAGTTGGATAAATCTCATCCCTGAGCTTGATCAATCCCTGAGGGATGCGCCATGCATTCGACTTCATCAAGCATCATTTGGAGGTGATTAAGTGATTATCTGTCCTTTACAATGACTCGCGTTGGCCTAGCGATGTATTGAGCGAATGCTGCTGTGCTCCAAAACAGGACTGGTACCAATTAGCCGCCCCCCGTGGGATGGAAGGCTTGGTGAGCCATGGGCGCGGGGATTTGTTTCATGTGGGTGTTGCAGGTGTTGGTGTTGTCCACTACGCCACACGTGCCTTTCTAATTGCTAGTAATACTAGTTAAGAATAAGCGCCAGTTGTTGTTAGCAGTGCAACATTAAGAAGTAGTTAGTTGGTTGTCCCTGAGGATAACTAAAAGAGCAGTTGAGTTCATGAACAATCATGTACAAATTTTTTTTATACCAAATTATATCAGGCTGAGAAAGTGTTGAAGTTGGTGGTGCTGAAGAGATGCTGGACTGACGGCGAAACAGATCGCCTTGATGAGATCGTCAGAACGGAATTCCAGCAAGCACATGAAGGAAATCAGTGTGCCTTAGAGAAGTTAACGTGAGTTTCGGACAATTTCGGAAGAGAAACTAGATAAACTTACTGGTTGACTTCGTTTCCAATAAGTTTCTCTAAGTCTTTTTTCACAATTACTTGTCTTTGATAAAATTTCACCTCTCTCTCAGTCCAGCGCTTAGATGAGGTACTTTGCAACTAAAAAATCGTCTTTACTGTAGTAACTATTTAAAAGGATAAAGGATAAAGCTCTCGGCGTTGATCAATCCCTGAGAGATGCGCCATGCATTCGACTTCATTAAGCACCATTGGAGGTGATTGAACGTATATCTGTCCTTTACAATGACTGGCGATGTCCTACAGATGTATAGAACCAGTGCTGCTATCCTCTCAGGCAAGTTTGGTACCAATTTTCTGACTCCGGATGGATGGAAGGCTTGGTGGGCCATGGGTGCGGAGATCGATTCCACGTGTGTGTCGCAGTGGCGTCTCCAATCACCGCCCTTTATTTATACCTCCTAAATAACAAATCGTCTTCCACCTTTGTAAAAAGAAGGGGCTTCCAAATCCCAAACAAAACTCTGCACTTCCCAACTATTTTTCTGTTTGTTGGACATTTGAGATTTAAACAAATAACAGTAGCGCCCTTGATATTATGGGGCCGACATTGTTTCACGTAACGATGTGCACTCCATAGTAACAAAAGCAACGCGACGAGTGGCCGGTGTGGGTTATATAGGAGTTATTTTCTTTCTGTTGGCTTATTTTTGGCGTGGAAAACTTTTTCCTATACTTATTGCAATCCATTGATAGCTTATCCAACATAGATGTTGTGGCGAATGTCGGCTGAGAAAAGCTCTATTTTGCACTTAGAATACAACGAACCTTGTCTCGACAGAGTTTATTGGCTAGTAATTTCACAAGCAATTTACTGTTATCTCAATTTTGACCGCCATAGAGAGAATCATAGTTATCGTATTTAATGGGCGAGCACTGAGAGCAGCGTGTTCACATCATGGACAGTGACAACATGTACAGTACCATGCACACCATCCATACCTGTAGAGCGATAGAGCGCAATTTGTTCTACAGTGGTTTCATTTTCGAGATCCCTTACATCTTCTATTTATGGAAAAATCGTCTTTTTTTCGAAAACACCTCTCAGTGAACAGCGCGTCCGTAAGGGTTGAAAACTGGGGGCCGTGCTAAGCGGCAGGGCCACTAAACACCGCTCGTCGTAAATCTGTTAAAAGTCCGTATTCGATCTGGTGATCTTTAGTTCCATTTTTAATTGTTATGAGAAGTCTGAAAAGCACTACCAAGAAATGAGGTCATCGAATTTATCCTTACATTTATGACCCGGAAAAGGTTTTAAATCTTTCATATGGAGGATAAAAATATAAAAGCACCATTTTCTAGACCAGCCACTTCTAATTACAGACAGCTTCCTGATGGAACGTGGAAAAATGAACGTATGGAGCAACTAAAACGATGGCGAACAATTCCTTCAATAAACTATAGTGCTTTTGTAGTAGACGACAGCTTAAAAGTAAGCTAATCAGAGATAAAATTCACAGTAAAAGTAAGGCACTCAATCCTTTAAAAAAACAGATTCCTAGATCATATTATAGAAATAACCCTACTTTTCAGACGTCTTTAAATTCATACATCGACATAATAACTCACACTTGTGTTGATGGTCAAATCAATCAGACCACTGTTTCAAGCAAACCTCCGGTACGTTCAGCAAGGAATTTTACCAAATGCGGTCTAATCGATATCTACAGTTTGCATACTCTACTAGACATATTCAACTAAATACTGGTGTAATTTCGTCAAAAAGCAAAGCTGAAAAACACTATGCAGTTAGCTTGACCTTTCCTGACTCTAAAGAAGATGAATTCGCTAATAACAACTTCGCTTGTGTTTTTCAAGGAAACAGTAAATTATTGAAAAACGCTACGTTGAGAATTCGATGCTTTTCTTCAATAAGCAGACACGAGGTTGTTATTATAGGATTTATTAGGATACAATAGCTGACGTTTCGGCGGTTTCGCCTTCTTCAGAGCCTGGAAGGCTCAAATTGAGATGCGATCTACTCAGCCAAACACTTTCATAACCCTAGCGGATAAAACTTAACAAATAAATTTGCATTCGCATAAGAAACAGCTTCATTTAAACACCTACCGTTTATTCGTTGTAAGTATTTAAGTTAGTTGGTGGATAGCAGCCGCACAGAGTAATACATGGGCGATGACTGCAGCTGTGGATACACTCCTCCTTGCGGTTCACTTTTGAATTGATCCAAAACACTTCAAGAGTTTTACGCGCTGATGTTTTCGATTCGTACGTGAGGATGGTGACTCCTACTTCAAAACCTCCGTCGTGTTGCTGCATCGTATGTTCAGCATTTGGAGGATTCCCTTTGGAGGAGAATAGTGGGTGGGTCATTTTTGATTTGCGATTCTATTAGGTGAAATGCTAAAGTAACCTCAAGCAGAAAGTTTCAAAATTTACTGGATCATTCGCAAAAGCCAGCTTCAATTAAACAAAGCAAAATCGTTTACGAAAGCGCTAGCACTAAAAATGTGGTCGATAACGTGCCTGAAATGTCAAGGGTCACCGTGTTAGGAGGCATAACTCTGCCTGATGACGCGCACTCGCTATTAGAATTGGGTCCAAGTTTCTCACGAGCGCAACCCATTTCTAAAGAAACCTTGCGTAGGATCGCGTGCAGCCTGCACGAGCTCCAAGATCAACTCCAAAGCAACGCTAGAATTGAGACACGAAATAAAAAGGAACAGCGAGAAGTGGGGTCACTACCACCACTTCCATTTCCTCAGTTATTCTTTAGACAGTAAGACCCAAATGACGAAGTCGATATAAAATTTCGTATATTTTCGAGCGGAACTCTCAAAGTCCTTAGCCACTATCGCGCGAAAAAGTTTAGTTCGAACCTTACAGCTGCGCAAAAATCTGGTATGCGACAGGGTCGAGAGCTAATAAAATCAAAGACTGTCAGTTAGTGATAAGGGTGGAGAGTTTGTAGTAATTCCTCGCCAGTTAGATGTCGATATAACGGAAGAACATCTTGAAGACGCATCTCTTTATCGCGCATCTACTGAAAAGGAGTTCAGAAGTCAAAATCGAAAACTGAACAACGAATGGCAAAATG